TGATAGCATTATATTTTATTATAATATCATGTTATTATCATAATGTATTAATATCATATTATGTGAATATTAAAATATTGTATATTTATTATAACTATATAATTATAATATTTATGTGTATTATTATTATTATTATCATTACTATTTATTATTAATAATATTATTATTATTTTCTACTGCTATTATTGTTATTATTATCATTATTTAAAATATTTATTATTAATATTTTTATAATATTATATTAATACTATAAAATATATTATATTATTATATAATTATGATATTATCAATTAATATATATATATATATATATGTAGTATTATTAATAGTAATATTTATTACAAAACATTATCAATATTATTAATATTTGTACATTTTATTATGATAATATTACTATAATGTAATGATAATATAATATTATATTAATTAATAATAAAATCATATCATAATTATTTTAATTGTGTCGTTAATAGATAATTATATTATTTATTTATATTATTATTGTTATTATATACTATTATTTTTATTTTCTATGAAATATAGTCAATGTCATTAAGGGATCCTTTGGTTCAGGGAGGTCACAACCTGAAATCTAATGGCTTGAGTGTGTCACAAAGTTTGAGAAAAATTCTTTTGTAATTTAAGCTTGGTTAATGAAATAAATGCAACCACCCAATTTCACCTCGGTCAAGATGAATTGTGACCACCTTGTACTAAAGGTATATGGTCTCACTGTATGGTGAGAGCCTTAAAATATATTTTCATCTTTAAATATAAAATTTAAAGCTTAAAAAATAGTGTAGATCGAGCACTTGAAAATTGACGGTCCAAAAATACGTTACAAGATGCACTATTTCTAAAACTTAAAATTCATTTTTTCTTCCATGTTCATGCATCTTGATGTCGAGATGATCAATTTGAGAAGAAATTTTTGAAGTGGGCTCTTTGATTGTTTAGAGCTTCTGTTCAACATAAACTTTTTCCCATTAATATTGGTATTGTTATAGTTTAATACAATAATATTATGCTTCCAAAACCTAGTTTTACAAGTAGAAGAGCCAAACAGAGAATTTGTTATATACCGGTTAATCCAGAAACTAAAGGACATCGCTCCTGCAAACCATGTTTTACAAAAAATTTGGAATGCTATCAGTTATGAAGCTAGAGAAATATGAGGCATGAACAGGTGTGTTAAGGTGTTACTGTGTTTATGAGAGAGTCAGAAAGAGAGACCCATTATCTGATAGCAAATGGTGGAGGGCATTCCATCTATCCATAGGCAGGCATCCTTTTGAGAATCCAAACAATCCATCACCCTTGATCTTGAAGTGGGGGCACTTCTTCACCTTCCCAACATGGTACACCACCTGATCTTGCAATGACCCTCCAACTCTAACCCTCAATGGATTAAAAGCTGAAAACAAAAAAGAATTCAAATACTACATCAAATTATCAACACCCCAACTTCAATTTTTCTGATAATAATTACAATTCTCTTTAAAAATTGGGTAAAAGTCAAGAAAAAAATTGAAATATAATAAAAATCAACCTACCCTTGATTGCCTTGCCAAGATTAGGATTCTCCAAGTCCTAAAAAACAAACAAATGGAAACAATAAACCCACTCTTTCTAATTTAAACACAAGATAACAATATCCCTGTCATAGATATCCATTTACTTTTCATTCATAAAAAAACACATAATGCTCTCTTCATCTAGTTATTCTCATTATATCTTTCTGTCAAAAGAAAAAAAAAAAAAGAAGGGAGAAATACTCAAAACCAATTATATTTCTCTGTCAAAAGAAAAAAAAGAAGAAGAGAAATACTTAAAACCAATCAGTCATAACAAAGTACAATCCTCTCTTTGCTTCTCACTCATTTAAAAGATAATATGATAATCTCTTTCTCTGGTTCTCCTTTTGAATCTCACTCATTTAGAAAAATAATATTATGCTTAAGAAAAAAATAAAAAACCAAAGTAATCTACAATTTCTCAATCACACAAAAACTATAACCCTCTATTTCTTCAATTTTGTACTCATCTCTCCCCAAAAAATCACTAATATAGTCGATGAAAATGATAATATGAAGCTCCCAAGATTGAGGATATACCAATTTCACCTCTCTCTCAACATTGCAGTAGCAATGGTTGATCGAAGAAAAAGTTGCCGTAATAATGATTGATCGATAAAAATCTTGTAGTTATAATGATCAATTGATGAAAACGACGGCAAGACGAAGCTTACCAGATTGAGGATACCAGCTTCAATCCATGGACATTCGCCATAGTTGCACTTATCCGAAGGCCACCAATCTAGAGTTGCGCACACAAAATTATCATCTGTATGAGCAATTGTGTTAACACTTTTAACCTTAACTAACACCTCCTCTGCAAAATTTAGAGGAACCCATGAGAGAAGAAATAGAGAGAAGAAGAAGATCCTGACAGTCATTTTGGCCTCAGCCCACAATGTTGAGTCCCTTTTCTTTAGAGAGAGACAAAATTATGAGCAATTGAGAAGAGAGAGACCCGAGCACTTGGGGAAAGTGCAAAAGGCTTTGTGTTATATATAAGATAAGATAGAACTAAATCCTCTAAATTTAACCACCCTTAATTTTAGTTAAGAGATGATAATGCACTAAAAGAATGTACATCCTGTGCTTTGTGGTGACCGGTGAGAAAAAACAAATCACAATAGATTTACATCAAGTTTGTTAACAAAGAAACCGCCCAATTGTGAAGCAAACCTCTCTCTAAAGATATTCAGTTTCTCTCTCATGGAGCGTTTTTCAGTGGGTATACTATGCTCCTGCGGGGGTATATAACGTACACTTACTCCCTCAGTCAGAAGGATTGGAAAGTTTTTCAAAATGAATTTTTAGAAACCACCAAAAATTCACTGATGTTCAAAAGAAGAAAAAATAGAAAAGAGTTTTATAACAATCTTGAGGCATTATTGTTATGGGAAAAGTTTATATAGAGCCTAAGCTCTAAATAATCAAATTAGAGCCTATTTATCTCAAAACTTTCAGTAGAAGAGGTTGTTTTGATACCCAAATATCATCAAATGACATCTCGACATCAAGATGCATGCACATGAGAAAAAAATGGATTTCAAGTTTTGAAAATAGTGCATCTTGTAACGTATTTTTGACCTGTCAATTTTCAAGTTTTCATAGTTCTGCTCAATCTACACTATTTTTGAAGCTTTAAAATTTTATAAGTAAATATGAAAAATATAATTTAAAGCTATCACAAAACTTTCCAGTATTGAAATTATATTTCTCGACATTATTTGAAAGTAGGTTTTAATTTGATTGTTTAGAGTCTCAACGCTATACAAACTGCACCCTATTTTTATTGGACGATTTTATTCAATATTTAACTATTAATTTCTTCAAGTCTATAGTGAACTTGGAAAAAAAAAATTATGGAGTTTAGCATTTGGGTTTAGGTTACATACCTCGTAAACTCCATTGGCTTTCCGGGAGAGGAGGGTTTTGCCTAACTAACTGGCTTGTTTTCGTTGGCTCATATTAAGTTTGAGTTGGACCAGAGGGAGTAAATGGACAGCATTCTCCCTAGAGAGCATGAAATCCTTAGCCTTTTTTGTTCAACTCCCTAACGATGTACGCTGTCATCATTATGGACGCTTAGAACTCATGGGGGCCTCTTTGCAATCTGGTTATTTTTGTTTTCTTTTTTTGTCATTCATTGTTATTCTCAATATCTCTCCACCATTTTCGTTGTTATTCCCCATGTTGGAAAAACCCGGTTAGATGGGAACCCGCCAATTGCCGGTTTCGGTTTCGGACAGTTTGGTGATTGGTCGATATTTTAAATATATATATATATATAAAATCTCAAAAATAAAGAATTCGATTTGTAATATATTTTTACGTTATAGTAAAAATTAGAAATTGTTTTGGTCATTAATACTCACTTTTATATTTTTCCATCTTTTTCAAAAAAAATTTAAAATATCAGTAGGCACAAATCGATTTTTTAAAATCCATTTTTTCACTAATTTTCAACTTCATTATTTTAATTATTTTTTTATATGTTTTTTATATTTTAGTAAAACAAAACTTGTATTTTTTTTTTTTTTCAACAATATTTTGACCATCCAGGACTTGAACGGTTAAATCGGCCAATTTAGTAATGTGTTCTATTTTAATCATTCTTAATATATTTTTCATATTTTAGTAAAAAAAATTGTATCTTTTTTATTTTTTCAACAATATTTTAACCACCCAGTACTTGTTTAGTTGGAACAGTTGAATGGGCCAATTTATCAGCTAAACCGGTTAAACCGCTTAACCATCGCGATTTGATTTTGGGTCATAAACTCGGCACTCTCCCTAATGCATCTCTCAAGATAAATGCGCAGTCTCTCTCTATATAACGCATGTATCCACTCTCCCTCTCTCTCACTAGTACCCACAACTCTCCACTCTCTCTCTCCCCTAACGCATCTCTTTACTCTCTCTAGATAACGCATCTCTCTGTCATTCAAAGTTCTTCTACTGTTTTCTCCCTCTCTCTCTCTCTCTCTCTCTCAAGATATTGGCACTCATGCAATAAATACTCTCTCTCTGTAACGCATCTCTCCACCCTCTCTCCCTCTCTCTCAAGTTATTATACTAAGGATTTGTTTGATAATTAGAAGGTAAATGTTGTTTGAAAATTAAAAATTCTTTTTTTGCTGAGAAGAAGATCTTAAACTAATTTTAGATATATGTGTTCGATAACCTGGTCAAATGTTAAAAAAAAGCTATTGGTACCTGTGTTTTGATGGCCTTTTGGATTATTACATAAATATATATATGCGGTACTAGAAATATATACAAGCAGTGTTTTGGAATATTACATAACTATGTATAGGGAGTGTTATAAATATACATAGGCAGTGTTTTGGAATATTACAGAAATATATATAGGCAGTGATCGTTTTGGAATATTACATAGTGTTCTTTTTGGAATAATACATAAATATATATAAGCAGTGTTTTGGAATATGACATAAATATATATAGGCCGTGTTTTAAAAAAGAGCGACGAGTCGCAACGGACTCGCAAGCCCTCGCGAGCTCATGAGTCGAGGCTCCTCCACGCATCAAGCTCACGCTTATTAGGATGGTAATCTACATTTTATAGTAAATTAGCCTTCCAAAAATTGTCGAGGTTAGACTAATTTTTGTGTCTCTTTTGAACAGGCCAGTCAACCACGCATGCTTCAAGCATGCGTGCCATACTAAAATTGCATGCGGGTCAATTAAATGAGCATGTCCTCTAATTTATGAATTTTAATTTGGCACATTAATGAGTGCGTCATGTTTCCAAATTAATGTGTTGAGCCTCATTAACATATTTTTTTAATTAAATAAATTAATTAGCTTGCCAAATTAAAAAATGGCCATTTAAATTTTTTTTGCTATTTATTAGTAAAATAGTTTTTTCGATAGGTTTTATTACAATATTTTATTTTTATTTTTAGTTTTTTATAGCAATTGTGCATATTGCTGATATGATTTTTTATTTTTCTTTTGAATTTTGACATCTTTATTTTAATTTATTTTTGGGTAACGTTTTTTTGAATTTATATAATATCATAACATTATAATTTATTGGTGGTTTTATTTTTATTTTAATCATATGATATGGAAGCATTTTCTAATAATTTTTAATCATGTTTACTATAATATTATAATTAATAGTTATATATTGATAACCAAATCTTGTATTTTATTTATTTATATTATAAATTATATAATGTATTGTTTTTCTTCTAGTTGTAAATAAGATTTTTTAAATTTGATGCTATTATAAAACATTTTAGATTTGTTCTTATATCTATAGTAAAATAATTATAAAATATAAACAACGATTTCAAATTCATTACATAATTTCAATTTCATTACATTATATTTTTAATATCATAACATTGTGAATTATATTCAATTGATTGTCAATTTATAATTATCATGTGAAAATAACTTGTATTGTTCAACTTTATTGTCAATTATTTAATGCAAATACATATTGTAAAATTTTAGGGCTCTTTAACTAATTAATTTTAAAATAATTTGTTGATAAAAACTGTGAATTGATCTCAGGTGCCAACTAATTTGGATCGTTCGTTCCTAGATCAAGTCAATAAATTGTCGCGAAAATTCAATCAATTGCACCAGCGTGACCAAGATGAAGAATGACGTCGTCTTTCATTTTATTATTAGGTCGTATTTTACGGATTGTATGCTTTATTGTAGTTATGTATGATGATATACCTCATCCATGATAATTTTATGCTTATCCTTTTGTGTGATGTAAATTTAATGGGTAACAGTAGTTCACACAAGGAAATAACAATCTCAATATTTACATATTGATGCAAAAAAATGAAAGTTCTTAATGGAGTACCCCCATTTCTTATTGGATTCCTAACCAACAACATTTATAATGAATTTTAATAATTTTTTTGAATTTTTTTTCAGGAGGAATCCGACCAGTTCACTATCCGGATCGTCCATTCACCGATCCAGATAGGTTTTTGGGGTGCCCGATCTGGGGCAACGATCCGTTTTTTAAACCACTGTATATAGGGATTGTCTATACAGAGACAATTTATCTTTTGTATATAGAAGTTACAATCATTCTTATCCCCTTGAATTTTAAAATGAGTAGTTGTAAGAGTGTAAAAAAAAAAAAATTCTTAGACTTTGTGGCTTACCCCAAACCATCCAATTTGACATTAAACGATTGGAAATGACTGTGACATCCATATACAAAAAGAAAAATGATCTCTTTGTAGACAATCTTATATATATATATATATATATATATATATATATATATGAAAAATACTGAAATTAGCCCATTAGCTCAGATTGAATCTAGGCCGATCTGGCGGTCTAATATCAGCATTTTATATGTGTGTGTATGTGTGTGTGCAGTTGGCATACGGATGCATCCGTAGGTGCATAGGTAAGGTGCACCTTTAAATTTTATGAGACTTAAAATGTTTTTATTTTTCATAGTCATACATCTCGATGTCGAGACGATCAATCAAAGGATTTTTCAACTTTTCAACATTAAAACTACATTTTCCGATGGATTTGTATAGAGCCAAGGCTCTAAATAATCAAATTAGATCCTACCTTCAAATAGTGTTAAGAAATATGATTTCGATATTGTAAAGTTTTGTGAAAGCCTTAAATTATATTTTCATATTTAGTTTTAAAATTTAAAGCTTAAAAAATAGTGTTAATGGAGTAGATCTATGAAAACTCTAAAATAGTGAAAATTGATGGTCCAAAAATGGGTTACAAGATGCATTATTTCCAAAACTTGAAATACATTTTTTTTCATGTCCATGCATCTTGACGTTAAGATGATCAATTTGATGATATTTGGGCCTCAAAACAACCTCTTCTAATAAAACTTTTGAGGTAG